TGCACCTGTAAATGATAAAACTGTCCAAGAGATAATCTCCAGTTTGAGCTCCTCCACATGCAGCTTGGATGTACTACCCACTAGATTTCTGAAGTCTGTTCTGAGCAGTCTGTTACCTTCACTCACACAGATAGTAAACATGTCCCTTCATTCTGGAATATTCCCAAAGGCCCTGAAAACGGCAGTCATCAGGCCCCTGCTAAAAAAGAGCAGTCTCGATGCTACGGTACTTAACAACTATCGTCCCATCTCAAATCTGCCATTTATGGGGAAAGTCCTTGAGAAAGGTGTCTACATACAGCTTACTAGATTTCTTATAATCAACAACTCATTTGATATGTTTCAGTCCGGCTTTAGACCCCACCACAGCACTGAGACTGCTCTCGTTAAGGTTAAAAACGATATCCGGCTGAACACTGACGCAGGCAAAGTCTCAATCTTAATCTTGTTAGATCTAAGTGCTGCCTTTGACACTGTCGACCATGAGATCCTCTTACAGAGACTAGAGGACTGGGTTGGAGTCGCTGGCACTGCCCTAAGTTGGTTTAGGTCTTACCTTGAGGACAGGAAGTACTTTGTGGAGATTGGAAACTGTGTCTCAGATCATATGGCCCTGACCTGTGGAGTACCACAGGGGTCGATCCTGGGACCTCTTCTGTTCAATCTCTACATGCTGCCGTTAGGTCAGTTAATACGCAGAAACGAAGTTTCCTATCATAACTATGCAGACGACACTCAGATCTATGTCTCACTGACTGCAGGAGAACATGGACCAGTGGACTCACTCCTTCACTGTATCCAACAGATCAGTGAGTGGATGCAAAACAACTTCCTTCAGCTAAACGCAGACAAAACTGAAATGATTGTCTTTGGTCCCCAGAAACAAAGAGAGAGCGTCATCTGTCACCTCCAGTCTCTCTCCCTAAAACCTTCAAACAAGGTCAGAAATCTAGGGGTAATACTGGACTCAGACTTAAATTTTAATAGCCACATCAAATCAGTAACATCAGCAGCTTTTTACCATCTAAAAAACATTGCCAGGATCAAAAACATAGTGTCTAAAGCAGACCTGGAGATTCTTATCCATGCATTTGTCTCCAGTAGGTTAGACTACTGCAATGGCCTGCTCACAGGTCTGTCCAAACAGGCTGTAAAACAGCTGCAGTACATTCAAAATGCAGCAGCTCGAGTCCTGACTAGAACCAGGAAGTACGACCACATTAGTCCAGTCCTCAGGTCTCTGCACTGGCTTCCTGTGGCTCAGAGAATAGACTTTAAAACAGCTCTGCTTGTTACAAGTCTCTCCATGGCCTCGCACCAAACTATATTAGTGACATGTTAGTCCCATATGAACCAGCCCGGACTCTGAGGAGCACAGGGACTGGACTCCTGTTTGTGCCCAGAGTCAGAACTAAACATGGGGAGGCTGCTTTTCAGATTCATGCTGCTAAAATCTGGAACAGTCTTCCTGAAGATGTGAGACAGGCCTCCTCAATGACAATGTTTAAAACCAGGTTAAAGACAGTTCTGTTTAACTGTGCATACAACTGAGGGATTTTATATTTTTATCTTTCTTTTTAATGTTCTGTGATAATTTATGATTTTAATGCTTTCTTGTTTTGTTCAGCACTTTGAATTGCCTTGTGTATGAATTGTGCTGTATAAATAAACTTGCCTTGCCTTGCCTTGCCTCCATGTTTGTCCTGTCTAGTTTTTCAGTTCTGGATTTTTGTCACTCTGAATTTTATTTTTTTCTGTCCTGCATTTTGGGTTCCCTTTTTCTTCATTTCCCCACATGACAGTAAACTGATTACATCAAGAGAATGTCCCACTGTTGCGCTGGTTATGAGGAGGAGGTTTGCAGCACGAGTTGAAAAGTTACAAAAAAATGTTTTCTTGAGTTTTCATGTCTGAACTTTTGCTTTAGTGCTATTGGACTACTTTGACTTTTATCCTTGTCAGTTGTATCACATTTTGTACCTTCAATGAATAGACCCTGGGGACAGCATGGCCAATATGTCAGTATAAACACAACTTCTGCGCACACAAGGAAAAAAATGACTCACAGCGTCTCTGCATGAGAGCCGCGCTAATGCAGACACTACACGTCCCGTCACACGTTTATTTGGACACACAGCTTTGTCACTTTGTTAGACCACCTCCAGTCCAGGCTTTGTATGGCTCTGTAGTGAGAGGCTATCATGTTGAAATGTATACAGAGCTTTACTGCGGCTCATCTGTTTTAATCCGACAGGCCTCTTCAAACTGGGATAAGATCAGTTTTTAAGCCTAAAGTTTGATAAGGAAAACGGAATGTTGTAGGACGGTTTGGTTTGTGTGAGCTGTGGATTCTGTGGTCGGATGTAAACTCGCCTTCATGGCTAAAACTGGCCAAATACTAATAAACACATGTTGATTAATGTGTACTGTCCCATTCAAATGCAGTAAATACATACATTTGTAGCCTCTGACTGGTTTAGTTTCTTTCGGGACCTCTACCGTTTTCAGTTACAAACACGTGGACAAAGCCTAGACAAAAATCCTAGACAATTACTATTTTATTAAGTAAATACTGTAGATGGTATTGTATTCATTGGATTTGTTTGATAGGGACATTGTTTCATGAGGAAATATTACACACCACAACATTTTAGTCAAGGCTAATTCTCAATGTTTGTCTCTAGTTGGGCATTTACGAACATACAATAAAGCAGTAGAGTTAATCAGAATCAGAATCATTTTTATTGCCACGTAAGTAACAGGAGGTCACAGACTAGGAAATTGCTTTGGCTCAGTGCAACAGTCAAAAAGAGATAATAAAAATAATAATAAAAAATACTACTAAAGAATACATTTAAATTTAAAATAGAGTTACAGTTACTATTTACAATATACAAGTGCACATGGTGCACACAATGTAAGGTGACAGCAGTACAGTGAAGTAAAGTGACGTATGATGGGCAGTAAAGTGACTTTATAAAGGGCGGGGGGACAGGTTAAGAAGTGTTCAAGAGTCCAACAGCAGAGGGGAAGAAACTGTTCTTGTGGCGGGAGGTTCTAGTCCTGATGGACCGCAGCCTCCTGCCTGAGGGGAGTGGTTGGAATAGTCCATGTGCAGGGTGAGAGGGGTCGGCTGTGATACGACCAGCCCGGCCTCGAGCTCGGGCTGGTCGGGCTGTATTAACTGTATTACAGTATTAACTGTATTAACAGTTAATACAGTGCAGAAAACATGAAACAGAAATAGATCAGAGATGGTCACATGTCTGACCTCATTTTAAATGGGTCTCTCCATGCTGTAAAAACATTTAAACAACACCTGTCCGGGACACTACAGCTGGGACACTATAGCTTTGAAAGTTGTGGTGTCTTGAATGCAGGAAAATTTAATTACTCCATCATGCATGCAATCAGTAATACAATTCTACTTCACATAGTTTACCGATCTAAAGCCTAGCGCACATCGACAGAGTAACTGAAGACAACTAGTTGCAAGGCGGCTTTTGGCAACTGAGAGTAGATGATGGAAAATTATCAGTTGCCGAAATCGGTCGACGTGAGCGCTCTTACAACTGGAGATAAACAGTCGATCTTCAGTTTCAGTCAGTTGCCCGTGTTCTACTTTTTGGCAACTAGTTGTACTCAGATCCGGAGATATTACCCGATGTGCGCGCTCCAACAACATGTGTGTATTGCGTGTATTGTGCGCCCTCTACAGTTTATGTCAGAAAACACACTGTAGTTGAGGCCAGTTGCTGTCGATATACGCGCTGTTATTCCCGAGACTGGTCTGCTACTAGGAGTTGCCCGTTTTCGCCAGATTGTCGATGTGTGCGGGGCAGCAACTCATATGCGACGGATATAATCAGTTGCCAGTCCGATGTACGCTAGGCATAAGATAAAGATGAAGAGATCCTTTATTCATTCCTTTGGTTCTATCAGGAAGAGTTTTGTTGCACCATATTATAAAACCAATCGTCACTTAAAATCTTTTGGCCAAACCGCTATTAGACTGAACTCTCTGCAGCTATGGCAAAGGAAGGTTTCTCACCCATCATCTGTACTTCTTAGCAAGTTTTCCCGACGTTTCGTCCTCAACCTGGGGACTTCTTCAGGGAATGAATTCTCGGACCGCGCGTTGGAGATTTATAACCTATGGGTGTGGTAAGCCACACCCTAATCCTGATACTAACTCGTAAACAATCTCAGGTCTGCTTGATGTAGAAGGGAGCAGGTCTAACGACCCTGCTGAGGCTAACGACCAGGTTACTGAGCAGTAGGAATGAGGAGCACAAATAGAAAAACATGTTAAGTGAATATCAAGTATAAACAAAACTCTATTCTTGAAAAATTGAATATAATCTTTATCTGTAGCTTAATAAAGAACATAGTATAAATATATAAAGTGTAAACCTATGTACTCCAATGCAGTGTTTCCCAGCCTTTTGAGGTTCTAAAGCTGTACTAATGGTGTTTGTATGAATCGGAACACATTTGACTGATTCTACTAGTTGCTTTCTCCTGCCAGTTTGAAAATCAGGTCTCCCAGCTTTATCCCAACCGTATCCAGATGAACTGTACAGCGCGTGTGAGATGACGCCTCTCTCTCTCACACCGATCTTGTGTCTTTGTCTGGCGTCCAAAGTCGAACAGACAAACTGTTTTCATATCTGCCTCCAGCCGCGCCGAGCTGTAAACAGCCTGTCCCTGTAAAGTGATTATGTTTGGCACTGAGCTGAAGAGTGCAGACACGAGGGGCGAGTCGTCTGCTTCTCTCGTCAGACTGCCCCTCTGACTGCCACCGCCATGTCACCCGCAATAAATGACCACCTAATCGCCACGGGGAGAGAAAAAAAACTAGCACCATCATTATAGAGCCAGGGCCAGGGGGAAATGTCAGCAAAGCAGTGTTTATCTGACCAATCAATGCGTGCGAGCTGAGAGAGGAGCAGAGGGGCTTAGAGGGGACTGGGGGAAAAAAGGTCTAAGGGCCGGTTGAAATGCACGGGGCATCCATCTTTGAGACTGCCGGTCAATACGGCTCACAGGCAACAAGATCTACCAGATATGTCAATAGTAATGAAACTGTACGTGCAATTTGATACAGCTGCTGCGTTTTACAATAGGACGGGGACTGAACAAGCTTGTGCGCCAATTCTCTCTGATGCTATAACAAGAAGCAGTTGTAGTATGGTGCTTTTGACTTTTAACGTCTAAATGTGAAGATTGGAGGATGTGGTCCACTGTTTATGAACCGGTGCAAAAGCAAAGTGGGAGACAAAAGGCCAGAAGAGAGAAGTTTGAAAGCTTCTAGGGGCAACACTCTCAATTGGAATACCAGTGGGCCCACTTTGACATAAAACATGGCTATTACATCAAGCTCTGACTGTAGCTCCTTGTTTTGTGCTTAAGGCGTTAAAGTTCTCATCTCAGTTTTATCTCATGCTTCTCTGACTGTAATACATGTGATCATATGAAAATAAATGTGATCTACTGTTGTATTTTGTAAATATGAAGGGCAGGTTCAAATCACTGCCACGATTTCAATCAGAAATGGGTGTTTTCTTTTGTTAATTCCTTTCAGCATCTAAAATATATTCATGTTGATTTAGAGTTAGGGTTAGGATTATGATCTATACCACAGGTGGCATAGATCATATTTTTTATACAGCCAAAGTGATTCAATCTTAAGAATAATTAGCCAGCATTAGTTCTTGACCTCTTTCTACTGATTTATTTTTATAGTAAAGTTGTGCTGTGGCTGATCTTGCGTGAGGAGAGCAGTTTTTGCGTAATGTTTAGGTAAATCATCATTATGAAGAGATTTCCGTTTATCAGATTACACTGATGAAGAGAGAGCGCAGACTCACGCATTATAGTTCTATTAAAAGCTCAGTGTTTGGATTAGTTCTGACGAGAATCTCTGCTCATTTTAGAACATAATATTTCCAATAGTTTATAATCTGTTCTGTGTATCTGTATAGAGTTTGAAATTCGGAGAAAGTTTTAGTAGGATGAATTGGCTCTAACACACTAACCCCGACATCGGTGCAAAAAGCTGACACTGGAAGGGTCATGGAGCTTTGGATCCTTTCCGTTGGAAGTTTCTTGTTTTGGCCGCAGACTGGAGCTCTTCGCAGGCCTTTTCCTGTTTAACTGATTGATTACAGAAACAAGATGAGGTCCCACGAAGGCACGAGTTCAAAGGACTACAGTGTCCGCAGCAACACAGCGACTGATGGAGTCCCGGACTGGAGACAGTAGTCCACTTAGCTTAGGGTTACATCTCAGTGTAAATATACTGGTGATGATCAGAGGGGCCAAAATGGGGTGGTCGATTTGGTGTAGTGTGGCGATATTTTGTGCACACAATTAAATTGATCCTGTATCGCAATATTTAATTAAGTAATTATCTGTTTCACGTTTTCTCTGAGTTTACTCTAACTCTTTACTTGAATTTACATCTGCGGTATATGTTTCTCTATTATTATCTTTTTGTAATCCTAATCTATGTACTGGGAGCTCACCACTCATGTGAGAGGTCGCCTATTCAGGAAATAATTATTTCCTTATATGGTCCTTTGTCCTGAATGTTCAAGGATTATGCTTTTGCGCTAACCTCTTAAGTTTTTGCTATTCAGTTAATGCGCAGACCATAATAAATTCGACATTTGACTTGAGCATATTTATATTCCTCCATTTTTGTAAAGCCTTTGAAGAATATGAGGGACATGATATATCGCAAGGCTTACTGTATCGTAATATGTTAAGAATTGTCCCAAGTATTGAATTACTTTATTATCGTTACATTTTTACCAATTTCCAACCCTAGTTTTTATATGAGACTGTATCAAACATCTTTCTTTCCCCTGTGTCTTTGCAGCTGCAGCGGCTGAAGCGCTCGCTCTCCTTTAAAACCATGATGCGCAGTAAGAGCGTGGACAACTTCTTCCAGAGGTCCAACAGTGAAGCGCGCCTGCCCCCGGACTTCATCACGGACCCCCCTCCCCCCTCTCCCCCGCTGTTGCCCGGCTCTCCGCTGGTGGGTGAGACTCGCTCGCCCTCCATCTCCCCCTCCCTGAGCCCAAACCCGTCCGTGGCCTCGCACTCGCCCTGCCTCAGCCTGTCGCCATCGCTCCCCGCCAAACCGGTGCGGCCGCAGATCAACCACTGCTTCCAGGACCACGTGTTTCGCAAAACCACCAACTGCCAGCACTGCAAGAACATGATCGTGGGTGAGTCGCAAAGAGACGGGGCAATGTCATGGAATACAACTTGGGGCTGTACGATTTATGCAAGATATATTAGTGTGATTTTTTTGTTTACCATTGAGATGCAATTTGGTTTAAAAGTATCTGTGCATAAATCAAACAACCAGAGAGTGTTGAACTTAATAACCAGACTACACCAGTTGTACAAAAAGTAATGAAAACCCATCGCAAACAAAATGTAAGATTTGAATTTCTGGTGCGGTGAAGCAGTTTTGTCTTTATTTAATAATGTGATTGTATTTGATGAAGCAAATTTGCCAATGGAAGTTGGAGCAAGCTAAAAGAGGCAATTAACTGCTGTCTAAAAAAATCTATTGTTCTAATGAGGCTGAAGAAATTTATTCTGAGTAAAATTAAGGTAAAATCAATTCATTCATCATTTAATCCAGGGGTGTGAAAGTGGTTCCAGAAAGGGTTCCAGACTCAGGGTTCAGAATGGACTCATTTGAGGAAATGGGTGGAGTCTGCTGTGCTCCTGCTGGGTTGGAATAAAAACCTGCAGCCAAGCTGGCCCTTTGAGGACAAGTCTGACAACCAATGTTGATGATTGCTTGTATTTTTTTAATGCAGATTTTAGTTTTTTTTTGCAAGGGACTTAAATACTTGCAATAAATGTGCAAACTCACATTAAGATCTGATTTTAATGTGACTTATCGTGCAGCCAAGATAAAAAGTAAGTCACAGTTGAGAGTTGCCACATTGAGAATATGTCAAATAGCAAAACGACGTTGCCAAAGATGCCAAACTTCACTGCCCTTTTGTTCTGCAGACACATTGCACAGAATAGACATAGATTACCAATACTTTCACTTTTCATTTGTTGGAGCTTGTGTGCAGAGGAAGAAAAAAAACATGTTAAAAATCAGCAACTTATTGTGTGATGGTAAAAACGTCTTTGAGTGTCCAAAAAGTGCTATATAAGTTTGATGTATTATTTTATTATTATTATTTAAAAGCTCCAAAAATCCATGTTTGTAAAATGGTAATGCCAAAGTACAGACCCAATGTTGTTTTCCTCCTGAAATTGTCGTTACTTGAGCTCATTAAAAGTCTTTGCTTTCGCAGCTCACGCGCCTCTCCGCACACAGCCTCACGTCCCATGGCTCAGCGCGTATTGACCTAAATGAAGAACCATTTTTAGGAGAGAACATCCCTTATTATGCAAATGACACTTCTAAACGGCCATTTGATTCTCTGTTTTTGTGGCGGAGCTTAAGATCAGAAGGGGAAATTGAATTTGCTGTAAAGAAAATTGCATTTGGACAAATAATGACGCGGCCATAGAAATCTCAAAGGAGGTGACGCTATAGAGGGCAAGGAGTGTAATAAGCTGAAATATTAGTTTTTAGACAAAGTGTTGAGTACACAAAAGTCGCTGAGTCACTTGTTTTGTGAAGGCACATACATTGATAAGCTGTGTGGAACTTTTGTGATGCAATAACTTGAAATCCAAAAGTAGTTCTTAGTCAAATTAAGCGAGGAATGTGGGAATGGCAATATACTAGCTTCTATTACAAAAACATAGAGGACATTTTAGTGTGGTATGGAATAAACAAACATTCTTTAAACCCTACAACCCTCCTGACCGCTCTGTACTGCTCGGAGCCCAGCACACGGCAGCGTAGTGTATGGCCGAGTCTACAACAGTGTCATAAAAAGTCCAGAGCAGAGGTCGGCTCACTCTGAAGGACCGCAGTCTCCTCAGACGGTGAAGACAACTTTGGCTCTTCTCGTACTGGACGTTGTTGTTGTGTGACCAGTCCAGTTTATTGTTGAGGTGAACACCCGGTACTTGCGTGTTCAATTGTTCAAATTCATAAGATACAAGATGTATTGTGACCCTTGTGACACATGTAGTAAAGGGGATTTTTAATGCACAATATTGGACATTTTTGAGCGATTACATGATGTCATGAGGGAAAAGATTCTGAGTTTAACTTTAAGAGAGCAAAGGGAAAACCCAAGACGTGATTTCCCCACTACAATGACAGAGCTGGAAACCTATTTAATTCCAATTCATGAAAATATAAAGTACTTAAAAGAATAATTCCAAGCTTGCACAAACCCTTTGGCAGAATAACAAATTGTCATTCCAGAATGTATTGTATTGCAATGTCACTCTTTACTTGCGCTTTTCCATTAAAATGCTTCTACAATTGGATGTAAACAGCCAGCAGTGGTCTGGTTTAATCTCAAATGAAGGAGAGAACTGGATTTCATCATTTACAAAAAGCAAGTTTAGGTGCATACCCTGCTGTATTTATTGGGATCAGAAAAATAAAAGAACCTGAAAAAAGCTGGGGTAGGGTTATTCAAATTGGAACTAATTAATCACATAATTTCTCGCCCTGAAAAGTTCTATAACTAGTTTTCACATCAGGTCTTTTTGTCTTCTTTAGATCAGCTTTTTTAGATAGAAAAGTGAAAAGGAGAGGACCACCTCACTCTGCCCATAGTGACAAGCATTTATTACAAGTCTGCAAAAGATAACATTAAGATTAAGATATCCTTTATTTGTGTTTGTACCGAACAGTTGGAATGAACTATGACTTCATGCTAAAATAATAGATTAAAATAAAATCTCTAACTTTGCCACAATAATGAAGTAAATCTTTAGTATAATAAGAAGTAGGTATAAAGTCTCTATCTTTAGCAAAATAAAGAAGCAAGTTTAAATACTGTATTTTCTAGTGCAAGAAATATATGTATATTTTCAAAACTCTGTAGGGACAAAAAAAATGTAATTCTGATGACAACAAAGTTAAGTACCCCAGCTTTAATAACAAACAAGCAGCATCTCTGTAACATGTTAACAACGATTTGTTATTTTTGTCACCTTTGAGCCACAACAATCCACACAGAGCTGCACAATCTTTGAGCGATTATAGCAAATCCCTTTCATAAACAAACATTCTTCTTCTTTGTATTTTTGCTCTAACGTGGATTATACACGAAACAAAACGGAAACAGCAATCAAACACATCACTCAAGTCTTACTAAAAATAACCCCCGCCTTTTACTTACAGTAGACAAATCATAATGAAATAGGTTCGTCTGCTTTAACAAAGGGACACAAGCGAAGCAGGTGATGTGTTATGCAAGAAACCCATTTCAGTGTTTAGAAGCTGCAGTAATCACACTGTAAAAAACCCAACTTGCTATTTGTTATCTGAACTTAGAAATATAAGTGCAGTGAATGTTCAAACCCTGTTAAATGCTTAGTCAACTCACAAACGCAATTAATCATTGTTAATTTGTTGCTTTGTTCAGTGACTGCAAAACGAAAAGTTGAGATAAATTATTTTGGCAATTTCTCATACCAATCCTTGACCGCTATTTGTTCGCGCTTGCGCTTTAAGTAAATTGTAGGGGGTTTCCGCCCCTGCAGTTTCCACAAGCTCCGCCCCACCACACCACCATGTGCCTGAGAGAAGCAGCCATTGAACTCTACCCACCCTATCTCCCAGGTAAGGAACATTATCTTCTGAAACACGGTTTTCTGTCAAATGACCTAATATGCGTTTACATCGCTTGGTTCTCCGAATCACCCACGCTTTTTTCAAAATTCTTAGAGTAGTATGGCTCGTTACTTTTGCTACTATTATCATTGCTACTTGTACTATTGCAAGTAGTAAGCCTCCGTAATTTGTCCTCCCCTCATGTAATAAACGATCTGGTTTCGACGTCTGAAAACTTAATGTACGTGAATCTGCTGTGAAAGTCTGGATTGTGTATATTTGTATGAGCCTCCCTCGGTCGGCGCCATTATAGTTTTCAGCATGTTCAAGTGGACTCTCATTAGGCTGTGTGATTCTATGCACGTCTCGAATCGGTCTGTTACAACAATTGATTAGTGTAATGATGTCGTGTGCTTTTGACACTCGTTCCCCGTGCGTGCCGTGGCCATTTTTCACGGAGCAGCAACAGTTTCGATTTCGCTTTGGCATTAACTTTCGCGGCGTCAGCGCACCCAGAGCTGCACACTTTACTGTTTGAGCTCTGAGCACATCATCCGCGCTGCCAAACGTGACGAGTCCGAGGTAAAGGCCGCTTTTACGCACGGATAAAGCCACCTGTCCGCGATCACGCTCAGTATAGGGCTTCTGCTTGTTCACGTGGCGCCCGCGCGCCCCTGCATACACACACACTGACGTGCACGCACTCTCTCGCACACAGATGCTCTCAGCGCCAGTCAGAGACCTGTTGCTTTCTCCTGTGCGCGATAAGTAGTGGACAAACACGCCACAGAAAAGTCTTAACTTTGATCCCTGCATGTGTTTTTCTGAACATATTATTTTACATATACATTTACATACGTGGCTTTATATTATAAAATATTTAAGATTGTGCTTGAAGGACAGTAAAATGTCTGTGTGGAAGGCTATTTGGAATGGGTTATTACAAAAGATAAATATTGCATTATCATATATACATTGGTGATTTAATGCAATGACTATTTTACAGTTAACTGAAATATATATATATATATATATATATTATACTGTACAGGTTTGTGATTTGACCATTGTTTTAGACAATATTATTTATAAATAATAAGGCGACAGTAGCTCAGTTGGTAGAGCATTGGCCTTAGAGCCTGAAGGTTGTGAGTTCGAGCCCACCGTAAGACCTACTTCACGATTCCAACCGATGACTGCTGTCGTTGTGTCCTTGGGCAAGACACTTAACCCCACTTTGCCTGAAGCCCCTGCTGAAAGATCAAGGCTCCTGTGGACTCAGCACCTGCAGGAGGATCAGTGAGGGGCTGGTGCTCTGTGACTGGGTGCAGCTCTGACTGCAACCCCCCTGACCTAGAAATGGATTAAGGGGAAGAAAATGGATGGATGGATGGATATTTATAAATAAATATTATTATTTTACAGTCCTTTGCTTACGTAATGCATATTTATCTATTATGCTAACTGACCCATTACATTGAGGCTTGGTTCGTTGTTTGTTAAATT